TATCCATGATAACTATTCCCTTGAATCACTCTGGACCCGTTTAATCCGTGGACGGTCGATGGTTCCGTATTTGACACCGTATAGCGAGATTGCTCCTCTGCTACTCGTAAACTTCTCCGCGCTCGTAAATGTTCCAGTAATTATACAACGCCCTGTTATTTTCATACGTTTTACGAGCAAACGTTTGGCCTGGATGGAAAGGACTGTATCTTAACTCGTAACCCCCGAGCCTCGTAAATCTTGGACGGTTGCATCGATTTCGAGAATGTAATGGCGGTGATGGCAGAGGGTGCCAGAGAGTTTCCATTCGACGCGAAAGATCGTGGCGAATGCGGTATTATACAACAACGTACGGATCTGCATTTCGTAATCGTGCAAATGAAGTTGGACCGGGCAAGGAGATTAAGTGTTACAATATCGTTGAATTCGTTTTTACCGCTAATTTTCTTAATTTAAGGGATGTCGAGCGAACGTTCGAGATTTCAAAGGATGTTTATCATGTTCATTTGATAATGGAATATGCGATTTCATGTAGGTTCCATTTTTGGCGTGTATCTATTGTCGTGATTAAATTACGTTATTTAAAGAATGGTTAATTAGTTGAGCAAATTATATTGAATAAATTATATTTGCTTAATGGAACATATCGATTTTAGAATTTATATTAATTATGCATTATTTGGTTTCTTTTGTTCTTGTATCAATTAAAGCTTTATTCTTTTTTTTTTTATATCCCGTTTGTGAGAGCATACTTTTTAACAATTTTTATTATGGATCAATCAAGAATAATTTTCAAAAGATTTCGAGAAAATTTTAAATTGCAGATTTCATGTTGTCATTTCTTCTCTTCTTGGTATTTTATTAAAATTTATATAACAAGACTTTAATTTAAGTTCAATTATATATTTGTTATTCAAGATAAGCGAAATGAAACAACACGTCTAAAATAAAAAATCATAGATTACAATATCCATGATCAAAATTCTATTCCTAAATCATTTCTTCTTTCCTCGTTTTTTAATTCCATCTTTCGAATTATCATACACACGTATACGTTGTGTGTAAATATAAGATTACGTCACTCTATATCAAGGGTCGTAAATGTGTTAACTTCTCTTATCAGGTCAAGAAACGTTCGCCTTATCTCTTCGTACCCTTCGGGACTAACTCCGTGCGATAAACGCTCAACCACGTACGAAAATGGCAGTCAATTTCCTCAAGAATCAACTCCTCCACTTGCAAAAATTCAAAAATTCACGAAAATTCCAAAAGTCCAAGAAATATACTTCATCGAATTCGTATTAAATTAATACGAGACTCGAGTACCATCGTAATCATTTCAAAATGATAATTACTCTGCCACGATATTTCAGCATATTCCCCGCGAAGCCATGCGATGCGGAGGCTGTACCATGCCCTTTTGGCCTTTCGCAATGGGGACGAGGTCTCCGCGATCCTACCCTGGTTGCCCTATATACCGATATTGCAGCTTCGATATAAGCTTGTTCATCTTTGAAGCAGCGCGACAGCTGCGAAAGTAAACATCTGGCAGTTTTTCGCGTGAAATTGTGTCGACGCCGCGGTGCACGTCGCCGAAACACCGATACAGGGGCAATTGCTTGAAAACAACGGGGGCGAAAGGAAAAACGAACGAAAATTCGTCGCAAGGATTATAAAGGGAATTGACGCGTGAAACCGAAACCGAGGCTGCCGTTTCCACGTGAACAACCACGTTTGAAATGGTTATCGAACGTTATTGCTCTGCAAAATGACGTGTACGTACAGGGTGATACAATTCGGCCGAGGAAAATGATTTCACGGGTAAAAAAGTAACATGTAAAACGAGACATTCTTCCCTTCCAATCCTTGTTTCCAATTTAATCAAAGTGGAAATCTGACACCAGTATATAAGATAAGAAGTTGTTTTACGTGTGGAGTACGATTTTATTTTGTTTATTTTGAAAATGATAGCACATACAAAACAGTGAAAGTAACACTGAACATTATTTTACGATGGAATTAATTTTGATGCGTATGTAAGACAGAATAAGGGAAAAATTTTTCAAAACGAAGTTTTCATAAAATTGCTCAAAAAACGAGATAATAGAACGTTGAATTTTAAATATTAAAATTGAAAATTTCACTCTATCTCGTAGCGGTTTATTCGATAAGTTTTCGAACTTTCTCGAAGATAAGATTTCAAATTTTATTTACTTCCTTAGACAAACTTCCATTCTAGACGCTTCAATAATCATGAACCGTCCTTTGCTCGAAGAAGTTTCTCGGAGGGGGTGGATGGTCGAAAAGAGGTCAGCGTTAAATAGTCGATTCGAGGAACGATCGAATTCTCGGCCAACTTAGACTGGATCCCCTGATCTTAAATATGTATTACACGCTGGCGTCCCTCGTCGCGTTGAAATTTTTAAGTTCTTTGTCTTCGAGGAAAAGGAAGTCGAACGATCCGCTCCGCTTTAAACTTTCATCTCACCTTAATTATCCTTCGTCGATTTCTTTTGTCGTCTTTCGTCTCGTTATCGTTATAGATTATCCAAATTGCGAAACCAATGAAGAGGATTGAACGCCTATGCGTGAATTAATGCAAAATTCTCGTCTCTGAGGCCAAGAGAATTTCAAATTTTTATATTTAATCCATGGATGTGGATTAAATTGGCAATCGTCTTGTTGCCAATTCGTGTTGACGCGAGTTTCGTTCCTCTTAGAATGCGATATGGGTCTTGCTCCTCCATGATTCGAATATTTCGTTGGAATGTTGAATAAAGAATTGGATACTTAGTCACAACGCGCGAAGGAAATAATTTTAGACGAGTTATTAATTCGTATTTGCGTACACTTATGTGTACATGTGTGTATGCGTTGGGGATCTCGCGAAAGCTACTTTTAAGATCTTTTTCCTGGGTATAATTTGTGGAGGATTTTGCGGATGCCGTGGACGCAGGATGGAAAATGTACATAGTGCATGGGTCTTAATCTCTCGAGGCCCGTGAAAGATAAGGTTGATGGAAAAATTAAATAATTCAGAGGAGGATTTATGAGTCGTTTGTGGTATTGGGTACGCGCGTAGTTATTTAAAGGAATTTTTAATGTCAAAGAAAGAAATTGAAATAAAAGGTAAACTTCGAAAAGATTTTTTTTTTTCCTTTATATTTTCAATATTTATATTCCACTCTTGCCTCAAAAATACGAAGGATATAAGATGTTTCTGTAATTCTGTATTTTCACAGAAGATGTTATAAGAGACGTTATATATAACATCAGAGACCTACCTACCTGTCTCTCGAAAACTAGTAGAATTTTCAAACATCCATCCATTGATATATAATCTTCGAGTAACCACGAGTAAAAATTAAACAAAGATTTTTATACGAAAAATCTTACATTACATATCTCTATGTATAAAATTACAGATATACAATACAATAAAAATTCCATCAGCGATAAACCTGGAGAGATATTCGTTAAAAATTTTGAACGAGAACAAGCAATTTTCAATTTTTCCAGAATTTTCAAAAAATTAACCGAATCTGATCGGAGAACCAAATTCTGAAATCCACGAATCTCTATCGAAGATTAATGTAGCGCATACGAAGAGCACGGGAGGACAGAGACTATCCGTGATCCTCCGTGAACGAAGCCGTACCGGCGAGGAGATAATTTCCGGTTCCTTCGGATCCAAACGACGATGATGCGCGAAAGTAAAATCCATTCGTGGCTGTGGAAACTCGCCTCTGGGAGGCGAGCGTTGAAGCTCTACAGATTCTCACCTTCGTTTCTAATTATAATTTAAACCCGTCAGCTCACCCCTCTCCCTTCCTGACCAAAGTTGTTGTTTCCGGAACACGGATCGTCCGATCGGAATATCATATCGCGCTCCAATTTCCTCCACCCCAAAATTAACGCAAGATAAATCCGTTTGAACCTGTTGCCACCTGACCAAGTCGTGTTCGAACGTCTAAGCTGATGGAGTTTTGTCGAAGCTTAGCTTGGCGTTCGATAGTCCAAATATCCTCGAGATCGTTTCATTCGAAGACGCTCGAATCGCAATGTGTTTCCAGGAAACACCGTCATGGTTTAAATGGAACTTAAAGGAAGGAGATTTTCTTCCAGGAAATTTTGGCTATATCGTTGAATTTTTTCGATACTTGGAATTGGAGATTCGTAATCTTTTCGGAATTTTCAGAAATCGATTTTTGATTTTGCACTTGGAATCGGATGTTTGTAGAATCTTTTTAAAATTTTCAGAATCGTAAAATGTTGGGATAACGGTTAGAAGAAGTAGAAATTAATCAATGGATATTTTGCAAGAAATTTTTCAAATTCTTCAATATCTATAAATATCGAACCTCAAGATGGAGATTGGATAATGAACCATACTTAAAAGTTAATATGTATATCAATTTTAATCGAGGAATATCTCATTCTATGTTATTTCTCAGTTTTAGAAATGAAAAATTTGTTTTATACTTGTCATAACTTGTAATATTTCGTGAATATTAAAAAAAATAAACGTTGAAGAGTATAAACAAAAAAAAAAAAAAAGAAGAAGATGAAATAAAATCTTTGCTCTAACGACCAACGCAAATACAACAATACACAACAATATTCTCTCCTTTCTATGTAATCGATGATCGAAGACTCGCGAGATTGCAACCGCTCTAACGTTAAATCATCATAAGCGAAGAATAAAAAAAGAAATAGGGAAATAAAAAGAAAAATCGTAAACGTCGAGTTGAAAGAAGAGGTTTCGATTTTCTTCCAACCCAGTCTTGCAGGTCTTGCAAGTATTCATCGGATGACTAATATCGGCGTCGATGCCAGGCCGTGGAAGATAGGAGGGAAGCGGATTGGCAGCGGAAGAGTGTAGGAGGGTTGATGGAGGGCGAGCCGAAGTCGGGTAACAGGGTTGTATCTAGGTGGCGCAGCTGTGGAAAATCGATACTTATCGTGTCCGACAAACGGCAGGCCAACTTTCCAGTACGCGGCTCGTGTGCACGAGGTAAACACGGCTCCCATGACAATTAGAATGGAATGATACGTGGAGAAGCGTCGACCAGCCCCAATCATCATGGTACGTTCAAACGTAAAAAAGAGAGAAACTGCTAATCGGATCGCTCGTATCGAGGACAAAGGAGGAGCCGGACTGGTTTGACTGTGACTCGTGGACGGAACGACAACGACACGTTGACGATCCGGTGGATGTCGGTTTCCAATTCGCGTGAAACACTGAAACAGTGAAAATTAAAATTAAAATTGATTCGTTCACTCGTAAATCATAGAGGTTCCATAAAAATAGTCGACGATATTAAATTGATGTTCGTTCGAATTATCAAAAAAAAAAAAAAAAAAAAAACTATGGTTTCTTTTATGTATTACATGTGCAGTACGGTTTTGTGAATTACGCCCTCGAGCTGCTGGTTGTGAAGACCTTTGACAGCGAGACCTGGGAGGCGATAAAGTAGGTAAAACGCTACAGACGAGCGACCGCCTCGTCTCTTCTTCCTTTGCACTGTCTTCTTCGATTTCTTGTATTTCTTGCTGCTGCTGTACCGCTATTTATTGCACGATCCAACGTTTCTCCTTTTTTTCTTTTTTCCTTCCTGTGTACAGAATAGAATAAATGATTGTAAACAATATGATAAGGAGTCTAATACGAATGGGTTGGGGATTTCGATTAATCTTGTCGCCATCTATAGAGGAGATCAAAAGTTGAGAAGTGATGCTTTGCCAGACCACGTGGTATGTCTCCATGCTTGCCCAACTTTATTTTGCTCTAGCGTTCTGGTGTATATATATATATGTGTACATATCTGTAGCAGGGTTCGATGACCCGAATTCCTCGATTCTTTAATTGAAAATTCGCTTCCAACGAAGAAGATTTTTTCCCCTCGCAGTATTGATCTCGAAATTCATATCGAATTTTCTGTACAACGTGATTTTATACAAATCGATGAGATGATTGAATTTCCGACTTGGAATTTGATCAAGATTCGAATATGATTCTTGGAGGAAATTGGCGAATTTTGAAAAATTGGTAAATTTTTGAAGATTTGAAAATTTGTTTCTTTTTCTTTTTTGATGTAAATGATAATTTTATGAATATACAAAAAATTTTTTTCCTTTTTTTTGTTGCAAATTTAATTACTTATCATTGTTAATCTCATTATCTATTTTTATCATATTGTTTCAATGATTCAAATTAAATTGAGACAATGAGGTAAATGAAGGTTGAATGCATAATGACTCGCTCACGTATTTATCTCGATGTATGGCTAATCGAACTCGAAATTGGCTGCAACCATGAAATCAGATACGTTTATAAAGTTATTAATGCTTTTATCCCATCCAATAAACGATCTCGTTATTCTATGATATATATATACTACGATATTGCCATACTCTAACCACCATTAAGAATCCAAGCATCCCCTCAAATCCTCTTTTTCCCATTCAAATGCACTCAACGCCACTATTTTTACCCTTCGAGAATATCAATCACGTCCTCGCACCTATACTTACATAAATCTTTTTTTATCGCCCTTAACAATCCCATTCATCCACAAAATAAATCCTGCCTATAAAATTAGTATACTAATCTCATATATTATACTTCTCACTCCAAAAAAAATTCTCTCCCTCAAATCGTAAAAAAACAACATAATAAGTATGCCTGCTTATTCTGACTCGTAAAGATAGCGAGTGATCCATTTTCTCATGAAAGAGAAGAAGCCTTGAAAAATTCTTTCGTTTCTCTCATTGGATCAACAAGTTCGCCTAATACACTTTTGTTTACCCGATCCTCGAGGTCTATTGATTCAACCCACGAAATATTGGCACGGTTTGCCTTGTGATTGTCGTAGTCCAGGGCCAAATCCTTAAATACAGTGACTGTATAAATGTTTCGTTGTTTGTCGACCAAACATTTCCTCGAGGAATCATTTGATACGCTTCATTTATTTGCCAAGAACTCAGCAACGCCATCTACCTAACCTAGAACGTTCGAGTTGCAAGTTTATGGATCAAGGAAGTCCGGAATATGAAAAAGAATACGATCCATGAAGAACTGAACTCTCTTTTTTCACGCTCACAATGGAGATGGAATTCCTTTTTCTGATCATACTTTTAAAAAGAAAAATGACTTCGGATCCTTTTTTAACTTTTTCTTTTTCGTCTTTTTTTGTTTTTTGCTCTTTTTTTCTCTTTTTCTCGCAAAGAACATTCTCGTGAATTGCCTCGAGAAATTTATAAAAAGAGAAAAATAACGAAAGAAAACAAGAAGGCTGCTTGAACAGGTTTATGCACCGTGAACATGACTCGACAAAGTATGCGAAATTCTTAACCGTTTCCGGAAGTATGACCTTCCTTTCTGCGGTATCCGCGCGATTTCGAAGTTTGAACAAGTTTCGTTATTGCGAAATGTTTCCAGCAGTAGCCTTCTTTGAAACATTCCGTATATATTTCATTAAAATAATTTCTATGCGATTCTATCCTTTGTATTTATATGAAACGTAACATATTTTACATACTTTACAAGTTTCATTCTTCAATGACACGTTTTAAAAATGAATTCTGCTTATCTTTTTTTTTTTTTTTTTTTTTAATAAAGGAACGAAATAACTGTTTCCATTTGTTTCACGCGGAATCTATTTGTCAACTTTCTTTACTTTTTCCATTTAAGTGATGAATAATAGTGGAATGTCGTACTTTCATTCGAACCACCATTTCTCTTGTTCTCTTGTGAAATAATATCAACATTTCTTTTCAAACTAAATCATCGATATTATTTTTCGAGTTTCCATTTGATTCATTTTTTCTTTTTTTTTTTTTTAATGAAAATGGTTAACTTTGAGTTTCGCAAAACTAATTTTAACTCTCACAACGATGTAATCTACGATCAATCAAAGGAACAATATTTTTCTCTCAAACTTATACACCTTATATAAAAATGTTTCACACGTATCAATCTAATTACAACAATTATATTTGCTTGGCTTTGAGGTGTATAATTATTTTTATTTCACGGTTTGTGTTTCGATACGTATAATCGAAAAATAATGCGATTGGTCAACTATCCATTCGTGATTTTCTGAGATTTAATTGAACCGATCGAGGAACTTAATTTATCCGAGAATTTATCGTTCGAGTCAAGATTATCGGTTGATTATGCAACGTTGTATGATTGTTTGGCTTCCGTGCTTTCATGGGAATGGGCGTGTACATTAGCGAGCTGCTATCAGGATAATTATTATTAGCCGAGATCGGCTGTGCGCGGTTGTGTTCGTTACCATTTATTGGAGCATTTTTATTATATAAACCATATTTCAGGTTTATTTCGTTTTATCAGCTATTATAATTAACAACGATAACGGGTGAATAAAATTTCGTTATGTTGAAATATATGAACAACGCGTTTAATAATTTATTCGTTTTTGCTTAATTCTGAATGATTGAAGAAATAATGATAATAATTCTTTGCCATTTAACGATACAGGATTATTATTAATATGCAATTGAGATTATTATTAATATGTACATTAATAGTGACGATTGATCGTATAATGTATCATGCAATTATTTATCATTAAATGTTATATTTTATTTTTAACGATAAAGGTAAAGTTATTTTATCTTTTGTAATTTTTATTAAATATTTAAATTATAATTTTCATTTCACCCTTCATATTTTATATATGATTAATTTTCGCAATTTAAAGAAAAAAATTAATTAAAAAAAGAAATAAGAATAAAGTAATGGTTTGGTAAAAATAATCTTTTTTCTATAAAAACGAACAAAATGTTCTTTTATTAAAGTTTTAAAAATAGGTGTGTATAATCAATATGGTTTTTCTTTTTAAATAAAATGAAGTGGTGTTACATTGTACGACAATGTCTCGTGAGGGTAATAATGTTTGTCGGAAATAATGCGAGAAATACAAAAATGTGGGTTAAATACGAGTAGGTATATAAGATACCACAATGACTCTTGAAAACGGAAAAGGGGTCACTTTGATTGTCCTAAATGACGTTTCGTTGCCACAGTGTTTGTAAATTGTGTGTGAATTTCCAAGGTTTCCCATTGCGTTGGAAAATTACGATCAAGCTTTTTTCACTAAGTGCAAAGCGATGCAAAATACAAAATTTCAATCCAATTTTCCAATTATTAACAAACGTTATCAAAAAATGACAAAGACTTATTCTTTATTACAAAAAACGAGACTTCGAAATTATTTCTGTATCATCTCTTTTTCGATTTAATTATAACAAAATTATAATTAATTAAATATAATAAAATCTACTCTTTTTAAAAAGTATAATTATAATTAATTTAGCATATTTGAATACAGATCATATGAAAATGATATGGAAAATAAAATAAAATATTGAAAACAAGATGTTTCATTTGTATCATTATATTTTTTTCATTTCAAATTTGAAAGATTATAATATTGTATCGCGAAAAAAGAGAAAAAGATATTAAAATTAATATAATGAATTATTAAACGAATTTATTATTAACATAACAATATAATATGTAGTGTAATTATTAAAGACGAATTAATAATTTTCGTAAAATGGTTACGAGCATCAGCAAGTTATATGAAAATGCTGCGCGGAATGACAGCTCATATCCATGTCAAACGACGAAGTGCCTTTAGACTGCACTTTGTAAATTTAAATGGAAACCACCACGAGCGTCAGGCAACCTATTAAAATGCTTGGCTTTTAGCTGCTAAGAAGTATTTACTTTGTCCAACGCGAAACTAATTAATTTCCTGTTATGCCCCATTCCCAAGTTGAAGCGTTTCGAGGTGAAAGAAAAAAGAATGAAAAGAAAAATAAACTTTTACTAGATTACGATATTTCTTTTTTTTTTTTTTCTTAATTTTAAAAGATCGCACTCAGTCGATAGAAAATAAAAAGGTTTGGTTAATCAAGCTTTCGAAACTTTTATAAAATCGATATTTGATTGCTTGTATCTTGTTTTTGTTTGAAAACTGACAATTAATATTTCATTGCATCGTTAATTTTTTAATATCCGAAGGAAAATATCTGTAAAAAAAATTCTGTGAAATAATATTCACGGAATAGAAGTTCTTCTCTCGTTTATTCTTTTCTAGCGACTACGTCGTAGTAAATCGACAAATTATCAATTTTCAAAACTTCTTTTCATTAGGTTAAAAATAAATTTATCCTTGTCGATTTTCATTTTTTTTTCAGGAAAGAAAAAAAAAATAATAGGATAATTTTAATTTTCATCCTATGGATTCTAATTTCTTTTTAATATTTCAATAAATGTTACTTATAATTAAAAATATAACTATTAATCATGAAATTAACTTAGATTGAGTTTGAGAAGCGTGATAAAGATAGCTTTTAATTAACCAATTTATTGGCTAAAAAGTTTCATTTAATATTTAATTCAATTATGCAAGAAAGTTTAAAGAATATAAGTTAAAGGATTATAAGAACATTATATATAAAAAAGATTAGATATTATGCATGCATGATAAAAAGTCATCGTTAATAATTTAAAATAAAGATTAATTTTCATTTATATTCTGTTTGTGCAGAAAAGATGCCGCCGTTAATATGGAAGGACAGTTTCTGGTTCGCCAGATATATGATGACGAAATTACGTATAACATAATATCGGCAGCTGTCAATCGGCTCAGTACGTATTATTATATAAACGTATACGTCTATATTAAAAATTAAAAATTTATTTATCAAAAATTATGAAAAAGAAGAAAGAAGAATTATACAAATAAAAATATGAAATATCTCAATAATAATTTTTTATTTGATGTTAAATCTTTTCATAAAAATCTCTCTTAATTCTATTAAAATTCTTGACTTGTATCCAAACAATTGCTTTTATCTTTTATTTTTTCTCTTCAATTTTTTTCTAATACGCTCAACTAAATTTTCAACAATATTTATTTTTATTAACGTTATTAAAGTCTTTCAAGCTTTCTTTATTATTGTTGTTCAAATTTTCTTTTCAACGTTTAATTCGATTAAATTCTTAAATATTCTTCTTTATCTTTATCTACATTAATTACATTATAGTGTAATATTCATGAATACCAGATTAAAGGAAAATGTTTTCTTAACGTAGTTTAATTTTCAAGAACAATTTTGCTTTAATATTAATGAAAATGAGATAAGATATTTAATAAAGTTAAATGTGCAATCATAATGAACAGCATATTATCACTTGTGATAGATGTTGTAATTACACAATTATTAAACAAATATTCCTTTGATTTATTAAACAATTTCGTATTCCATTTATATCAATTATTTTTATACATTTTAAATTTAAGTTTATTTAATTACTCTAAAATTGATGATTTATGTTTCATTAAACAAATACAATTCTCTTTGACAAATTGAAACAAAATATATCGAGTGTGCAAATCGATACTTCAAATTGGATTATCTGCAAAGTATCATGGCACTCAATCCCAACTACAAAAATAGAAAATTTCACTGAATCTTCATCTCAAACAAAAAAAGAAAAAAAAAAGGAAGAAAAAAAGTAGCAGTAATAATAATAATACTATATCCTTCGATATTGGGCCATAAATCTTTGACTAGAAGAAAAGAAGAAAGAAAAAAAAAAGAGGAGGCAATCCCCAAGAAAGGTTCACCCCAATAATCTCTCCCGACGAGCAATTTGTCGCGAGACATCGACGTGATCTCGGGTAATCTCTTCTCTGTACGAGAAAATCGTCATTCCTCCTCAGATGTATGTACATCCGCGCTGTATTTCTCTAAAAATTGTAATTTCCTCGATCAACACCTGTGTCGATGTCTTTGACACCCGTTTAACGTGCTTGTTCAGATCTCAAAATCGAATTTTTACACGCGAGATCCCCTTTCGAAGAGGGATCGTCTCAGAATTGACGATCGTCAATTTCTATATCTTTAAAAAGAAAAGATAAAACTTAATGTTTGCCAAAACATTACAAAACGTAATCTCGTCAGTTTCGAAGATATATATTAAAAAAGAGATATATATCTATATTAAAAAAGAACATGGAATCTAATTACTAGGTCCAGCATCCTACTCGAAGAGAATTTCATTTGTGTTTCTTGCATCTCCAACAATTTTCTTTTAATCGCCTGTTAATTTTTTAAAATTTCCCAGATATACCGGCGAACGAGATCCTCGAGCTGTTCGGCCGGATGTTCTTCGAGTTCTGCCAGGACTCGGGCTACGACAAGATTCTTCAGGTGCTCGGGGCTACGCCCAGGGACTTTTTACAGGTAAATCTGCCACGACACGAGCCGCGACCATTCACTTTCTTACGGAATAAGATTGGCCACCTGGTAGACCGTGTCCGGGATTCCCGCGATTCCATTCGGATCCATTCGCGGTGAAAGTTTTCTAAAAAGATGACACGTAGGTAGATCGTCGTCGCTCGAACGTGTTACGTACGTGGATGTTCCGTTACGCAATGAGAGATGGATTGCGCAAAAGAAAAGAAAAAAAAAAAAAATTGGATGGAAATTATGGACGAGGTGAAACTTGCTGTGCGATGGTTCTTTTCTTTTTTTCTTCTTTTTTAATTTTTTTTTTTTAAATTTTCGAAAGGAGGAAGTTTTGAACGAAAGTATTAAAGTCGTGATACGTTGCTTCGTTTATGGATTACAGATTTTTTTTTTTATTTACTTTAGAAAGAAATTTCAGAGATTATTTAATTTCTCTATATTGAATCTTTTCTTAAAAAAAACAAGAACAAATCAAATTAAGCTGATTAAAAAATAATTCTTATAATCGTTTGAAAATGGATTATCATTTAAAGAGAAACATATTGATTTAAATATTAATTTTATAGAAAGAAAAAAGAAATAAAAGAACGTAATAAATATTCCTCGTTAAATATTACACTATTACATTGATTAAAAATTTGAAAGATAATTATAATTACATCTCTTAATACCCATTTCTTTATCGAAATCTACGTAGAACACGTAAAAATAACACGAATAACACAATGAATTTTCATCTCTTCCACCAATAATAAATAATATCACGTATGAATTGAACATATCATGTGCAGAATCAGATTTTAATTTTTTCACAATCATACGATACGAATGATTAAAAATTCTACGTCATTTTTTTTTTCACGATCTTATTCAACGGAGGATCTTCAGAACTTTCAGACAGCAAGCGTGCCAATCGAACAATTTGCATCCGTGTAACGCGCACGGTCAATGTTCGCGATCGTATGGCGTGCATTTCAGAATCCGACGCACGATTCGTTCGAGGGAAACGCGTCGCCCCACTGATTGCGGCAACCTCTGGTTGAATGAACAAACAAAAAGCGCGTAAACTCGTTCGTGTGGTCGGAATACGAAACGGCGGATTATTGCGAAGGCTCGGTCGTGAAAAATGTTTTTGTCGCGCCTGCTCGATGAATTATTGTGATTTCTTTATGGCGTTTCAGCTTGGTGAATGATCGACTTGTTTTTCACCGAGCTATGCCAGGTGGAATCCATCGAGGTTAAGTATATGGAGCAGGGCGATAAATGATACTTGCATTAAGTAAAAAAAATTGTGTGCATAAAATTATCTTTTCTTTTTCTTTTCTTTTTCTTTTTTTTTTTTTTTTTTTTTTTCTATAGAATTTTTTTTCCTGCAGATAATCGATCTCTGTGTGCATTGGAATTTAGGTTGTCTCACAAGTAAGAGAAAATTACTTATCTTTTTTTTTTTAAAGTAAAAATGGATGAAAATTATTTCTTCTTCTTGTTTTTTTTTCTATTTCTATTTATTCTTTTGCTTCTACAGATAATCGGGTGTAAAAAAAGGAAAGGATTGAATTTAGATTGTATCATAAGTTAATTAAGTTTTTATAGAAGATGAGATTGTGATCATACTTTTTAGATTTAATCGTTTTCTTGCTCGATATAAATATAAGTAATTAATGTAATATGAAAACTAGGTTGTTTTATAAATTAATTCTTAGCAAATATATAGATATAAACGTAGGGAGAAAAAAGGGAACAGTGATTACTTACTTTTTCTTTTAAATTCATTTACCATTTTCTTCTTTCTTTTGAGTAATTGAGGATACACAAAAGTATGAAATGTATTTCAGAAGTTAATGTATATTTGTATTAGAATGATGAAAGAAAAGTTTATTCGTTCAATCAAAAGGCAATCGATTGTCTTGTTTGAATTAATTATAGATTCACGGATTCTGGTTAATATCTCCACCGTGTTTAGATATTCACATCAAAGCAGCTGCCTTTGCCATGATAAACGTACAGTTATGTTTTCATATAATTACGTGCTACCCAATGATACATAATCTCTATTTAATCATACGAGTTTCCACAATCGATATACTTTAAAACAAAACTCTACAGGAAGATAATTTCGCAATCAATATACAACATCAATTCATTGAAAATATATATATATATATATAAAATTTTAATTCTACATTACAATTAATTCTATTAAATTATACATTGTTCAATTCTTTATCCGATCCTTCTTTCGAATTTTCACTTTTCATTTATAATACATTCACGTTTACAATTAATACGCAATTATTACTTATTTTACCATATAAATTACGCATCTAATTATTATTATTATTATCACAATAAATACATTCGTATCAATTTTAATATTCAATGCTATTAAATTTTCTATTATCTCTATTAAAATCATCCCAACCATTCGCACTCTATTCCGATTCTCATTATCGTATCGTATTTCATTTCGAACAAGCTCGCTTCCCAGTAAGAAACTCGGTTCACGATGAACGAGCGCGGTGCGATTAGCAAGCGGAATGTCACCGTGGAACGAGATTATTATCGTTTTTCCTTCGCGGGGTTTCATTTCCGGTTCTCTCTCTCTCTCTCTTTCGAGCGTCACGTACGAACAGTTTGTTCTCGTCACGTCGCGTCGTCGTTCCCTCGAAATTTCACGTTTCTTGTATCGTACCCCCCCTCCTTCCTCCCCTCGAGATATCGCGGCAGACGCATCTACGATCTAGAAATTAGCGGCCCAGAAATTGAATTGGAAACGCGCGTTAACGAGCATTACACGGCGAAAACGATTGGGCATTGATCAGGTGTGGGCATGATCGAAACGCAAAGTGGCAATCGAAAATAAATTAGGGGGCGTGGGGGCCTTGTTGTTCTACTCCGCTGGATAATTGTGAGAGTAACGGATAAATTGACACTGGAGGGGGGGGAGGGAAGAGAGGCTGTGCAACGTTGTTTAATTACAGAACTTGGACGCCCTTCACGATCATTTGGGCACCCTGTATCCGGGAATGAGGGCGCCCTCTTTCCGATGCACCGAGAGGCCCGAGGATGGCGCGCTCATATTACATTATTACTCCGATCGACCTGGATTGGAACATATCGTGATCGGCATAGTCAAGGTATTTTTTGTTGAATAAGAATGTCAAATTGTAAGCACAATGATGAAGGATGAGAATTTTTGAGAATTTTTGAGAGTCGTTTGGAAATGTGATTTTCCTTTCTTGGTTAAGAAATATTGTATTTTCTTGTAAATATTCAATATGTGATTGTGAAAGAGAGGTATTCGAAAAGCAGATTTCGACAGATTTTATAATTTGGATAAGTTCTAATTTACTGAAATTGTTCAATTTGTTTCGGTAACGAGTTTCGATTTACCAATTTTGTACATTTTCAAAAAATGACGGAGCTCGTTCGACAGACTAAGCATCATAAAATTCTATTCTTTATTACCGCGGTTTCTATTATTAATATTTAAGGAGAAAGAAGTTTATTGAAATTGAGAGAGAGAAAAAAAGTATGAAAGTGAAAATACGCGTTGATGATAATCAGATACTACGGCAACGATCCGCTCAAAGCTTTGCTATTTATAGATAGAAACAAGATGCTAACTTTCATCACTACGTATAATACCAGTCACGGTATATTATTTTTATCGGTCAAAGTTAAGCGGGTGTTAAGCCGATCTCAACTTGTGCTATTTAATTTTCAATCTAACAAATTCGTTCAGGTTGTAACGAAGCATGATTAAACGAGTTATAACTTTTATCGGCCGTAGACCGTGGCGAAAAAGCTTCACGGCACGGATATAGAGATGCGAATATTGAAGACAAAAAACGAATGTGATCACGTGCAATTTTTGATCACCAACACGTCCGGCCCTGGGGTTGTTTCAAACCCCATGATTGCAGAACTCGAGACTTTATCTGTTGGTGAGTAATATATTTTTATATGTATGTCAATTTTCTCTCAAAAAGGAAAAAAAATTTTGATTACAATCTAAGGCAAAATATTTTTTATTAAAAAAAAAAAAAAAGAAAGAAAAGTAAAATGTATAATATTTGAACATTTTTCAAAATTAGAAAGTGATTTTTTATATCAATTTTCTTTTTACAAATGTAAACAATTTTTTTTATTATAATTTGACTAGGCAAAATATTTTTTATAAAATAAAATAAAACGATATAATATTTACTCTGAGGATCTTTCAAAATAAAATGATTTTCATACTTATATTCAATTTTCCTTTTTAAAAGAATTTTCTACTGTATTTTGACTGAGAGAAAATATTTTTTATCAAAGAAAAGATAAAAATAGAGCGTATTTGTCATAGAAGATAGACTTCTTTCAAATCAGTGTAAGCTCGTTAAAAATATCGTTAAATATTACAGAGCCAAAAGTGAGTCCAATGACGTTCTGCCGAGTTTTTCCATTCCACCTGATGTTCAACCGAGACCTCATCATCGTTCAAACTGGATGCACTATAACACGAGTTATACCTCAAGTATGCTCCGGTAATTGCAAGTTGAACGACATCCTTCTTACCGTAAGTTTGAACAATTATAACTTGTATCAAGGATGCATGAAGCGCTGCCAATATCTGTGCCACTTCAACGATGTAAATTGACATTTATCAAATCTTGTTCAAAGTATCTTCGAATATGTATGCAGAGCGTTTGTAACCATACTGTAGGATAATATTCGTAAACACAAATTACGTTACGGATATTAACTTTGGTCTAACTATCCCTTTCACTCGGAATATATAAATATTTGGACATTGATGGAGAACACGTTGAATATCTAATAACATTTTGTATATATAATATAGCATAGTTAACATTATTGTAATAATTAACTTGTTAAACTGGTAATTATTGTATTTTTTTTTTCGTACGATTCAAATTTTAGAAATCTAATTGAAAAGAAAGAAAAATGACTTGAAAAAATTTGAAAATTATTTTATCTAAAAATATTTATTATTTATTATTTATTCGTAATAGCTTTTATATTTGAATGACGTTATATTATATGATTTTAATAAACAATTTTATTCTAATATCGGATTTTATTACATTAAGATAGGTATAAATTTGGAAATCAAGATTCTTTTCTAAAAAAAATACGATATTACCTATACCTTCTGCAATTGACCCATTTCTTTTATCTCGAGTAATAAATTTGAAATAAATTTGACGTAATAAAAGAGCCATGTCTTACGCTATCAGATTTATACGATTTCCCCTTTTTTTAGTTCTCCATTTTTAGTACTAGAGCAATAAAATAAAAGAATCAATTCACGATGTAACATCCGAAGTCACATGCTACACTCAAGCTTTAACCACTTCATAAACTTACCAAATTTAAAACATATATATATATATATATATATATATATAAAATTTTCACTCTTGAAAAATATTAAAACGTATATATTTAAAATTTTTCCCTTAAAAATATAAAAATATAATAAAATTCGTAACGAAACGCCACGAGATGTCACTTCAAACCCAACATCGCGAGTTTCATTTCACGAAACACTAGCGACAACGCGCCGGCCTCTGCTTTTATCCTCGAAGCATCGCATTAGGACCACGAAATTGCATTATCGCCGCCCACCAACGATATAATTTGCGTGGATTCATGCACGCGTAATCGTATATCTTTCAAATGCGGTTTGTTTCCAAGCGACATATTGGATACGCGCGCCGTTCGAACAGTACCGTTTAACTTCATTTGCATTTGCACTCACGCATGATCTAAGCCCGCGCCCATGATCAATTATCCGTTCATTATTAGTTCTCGATCGTCGTTGGTATTCCAGGACGACACCTTGAGAAATCGAAACGAAATCCCGTTGCACAAGCATCGATACGTATGCACGGGATAAAACGGTTCGAGATTCTTGGCGATTGATTGATCTAAATACGTGTTTACGTGCACAAGCCATTATCCTAGTACTGTGACTCGAAGAGAATTAAGACGGTCGATGGTAACAGGATTTCTGTTAATTAGAGCGATATATTCTGGTAAATCATTTTTTGTATGAGATTTGTACTTGCAGATGTGATAATAGAATTTCTGTCGTTTGAAGTACATTGATAAATAATTTTTATTAAATTAATTATATAAAATACATAAAATTTTTGTTTGTATTGTATTGTAGAAATGTTAAATACGTTTTTATGTGATTTGTTATGAAAGTTTTTTGAATATTTGATGTATCGTGAAATAAATTTGCAGTTTTGTTGTCCTAGGTCAGGCCACATTTAGAATTGACATTCGAAAATATTCTGTCACACATAAATACGGTTTATGTGTTGCGAACGAAGAAGGGTGTGATGCGAGTCGACGCTTCGGAAGAATATTCGTATCTACGTTTAAAAGTCAGTATATATTTTTTTAATGAATGCATATAAATTATTCAATGATTATTTAATTTAGTAAAGAAATGGCATGCATCATTTTCCATATATATATATTTCTTATTATTTTTGTTTGATTAAAATTTGAAAATACATCATTTTGATATATAAAATTATTACTTTTCCAGGGTCAAATGTTGTACATACCTGAGTCAGACCTCGTCACCTTCCTTTGTTATCCTAGCGTGATGAATTTGGACGATCTAACCAGGTAAAAATTTATCTTATCACTATTCGTTAAATTCAAATCCCAAGATTCGAGCACGTCGATTGAAAGCTGGTCAACTCGTACGAAAATTTGAGTTCAATTAAAATTACAAATACACTGATTCGAAGTAAAATTGGTCGAATGATCGATCATTAACTCGAATTCAATCAAACATTGAAGTGGCTCTGTGTGCAGGAGTCGATTTCACGCGTTTAACGCATCAAACTCGGATCGTTTAACGAGACTCGTTTCTCTTGGACACGTTAGCGCGACCTCGATTTATTAGAAATCGAAGAGGCATGATCGTTCGCATTCCACGATTCCATTAAACGGCCGGTAATGCGAAAATTCGCCTCGTCTCGATCACCGCCGATAATTATATCGCGTGGATTGATATCGCTATTCGCGGGGGCCACGTTGATCCCTACCGCGTTGCAATTATCGAATAGTTCCTAAATTGAATTTCAATCAAACCGGATAACGCAGCAGTGCGAACGTGTGATCAATAAATTGGTGGTGGGCACGTGCGTCGGTGTTGCGTTTGATGACAAATGTTTGAAAATTTATAAAACGCGCGACAACACGACAATTTGTCAGTACAAATGGCAAGATTAATGGTCTATGAGAGAAATGTGAGAATATTATTATTATATTTTAGTACGTAATTTTTTTATTATTTTACTAAAATTTTGTGTCAACATTTTTTATTTTTCTGTTTTTTTTTTTTTTTTTTAATTTAATACTATGATTTTAGAAAGGAATTTAGATTTTTCATTTATCCTTGATCTTGTTCTCATTTCTTATTTTTGTTAATTGAATATCTTGACGTATACTAACGTATCTCATTCTCAACCTTTTAATAAATAGAAATATTTCTAGATAGAAAAAAATTTCTCTATGATATAAAATAGAGAGATACAAACAAATGTGAAACCTTTATCTTTAATCTGTAAATATAAATATTATTAGTATTGTCAGTATTGTCAAATTATATACGTAATATCTTATTTTTATCACTTTTTATCATTTTCCAGATTTTGAATATCAAACAATTAACGAAATATAAATATCTCATCTTAAAAATATCTTAATTTCATAAATTATAATACTTCTTAGATACTTTAATATCACAAAAGATTCTTTTTATCAAGAGATTTATATTATCCACGTACACAGAATGAAATATAGAATTGAAAGAACATCTCGTCTCGAAATACAAGTACTTACGTAACAACTCTTGTTATATATCCTGGAATAAGACAATGGTAATAGGTATCTTCTTTCTAGTAGCAAGAAATCCTTATATATATATATAAAGCTTAACCTAATGGATCTAATAGCCATCGAAGACAGAACACGGCATTCTAGGTCGTTATCGTAAATAGACATATTTGATCGCTAGTGAAGTTTTCCTATTAATTCATCGTAACTTAAATTCCCCTATTTTTGCGTGGAAAATATTTGTCTCGGATGAAATAACGGATATACGTATACAGGCTATTCGATAGATATCGAATCGATGACTCGCATAATTACACCCATTCTAGTGTCTGCCGGAGTCCTATTAGTCGCATAAATTCCCGTCACGCCGCCACCGAATTGCCTCTGTTCGAATAATCTTCACCCTTGTTATTCTCCCGATTCTCCATCTTTCTTCCGCTCGAGTACCCTCTACTTCGTCATCTTCTACTTCTCATCTCCTCCATTTTGCTATTCGGCAAGGAAGAAAATGCATGAGATAGTCGTCTGTCTGTCGTACATTCCGACCGAGGGTGCTATCTCTGAAATTATTTGGACCCTTTTATGCAATAAACTGATCTGACTAAATTACAGTATACGTCTCTTTTATAATTTTTATTTACACGTGAATAAACTTTTAATGTTAATCGTTAGTATTATATGATATAATATATTATATTATACTCGTGACTAAAATTTTATCAATAATATTTAAAACTGTCTAATTCAACTTAAGATCAACGTTAATTCACCAATATTATGGTTTCCTAAATTCCTAAATTATTACACAAAAAGGAGATTTTCTCGATTTTTCTGGAAATCGAATTCCGCAGAATAAATTGCGGGTCATAAGTTCTGATGGTGCTCTGCTGCGCCATTTTGATCCTCGTTCGAAATTACATCCGAGCAATTTTTCTTCTTCATCCTTCTTCTTATGATTAACGACTCACATTCGAATAATTTTCAACATGCTTGAATTTAAGGATACTGTTTTTAAAATATATATTGAGCAAATAAAATTAAAGCGTAATCGAGTTCGCCGTCGTTATTTCGCGTTGGTTTTCTTTCGCAAGGAGAAAAGGATGGTGACTTGGCCCTTGGGACGATTAGATTAGGCGAGAATTACTCCGGATGGATTACATTCGTGTTTCGTGGGAAAAATTACATACACATGAGGGAATAAATTTTCTTTGGGAAAATATCGACTGGTTGTTTGATTACACGTATGTATGTATGTATGCCGGGGCTGGTTATTTCGTTTCAAATGAATCTCAAGGGTGGATTCTTTTGTCGCGCAGCCTGTACTCACCATTATCGTTGGTAAGAGAAGAATGATGAATTAAACATCGGGGATGATTGAATGCTGAATCTCGAATGAAAATGATTAGAAGCGTCGGAGAGATAAATTGCGTTAAATTTGAAGCTGTCGTTCTCCAGGAATAAATGTCGTAAATATTGTTTAACGCGGGGAAGATCGCGTTAAATGTAGTTTTTATCGCATAATTTTTATTGGGATTTATTTTTCGAATTGTTATTTGATCATTTAATTCTTTCTGTTATGCGAGAAATTTAAAAGTTTACTTATTATGCTTTGAAATTATTGTTAAAATTTGATATTATTCAAATTTTTATCGATCGAATAGAATTGAGATTTCTTATGGAAAATTTTTGTTTGTTATTCTGATGTTGAAATTAAAGAATATTTGCATTTATTTATTGAAATCGAAAATTATTAATTAAATCTTTGCTCTATGAAATCACTCGTGGAAAAAGACAACATTTTTTAAAACTCTTGAGTTATTTCATATAATTAATAGAAAAATAAAATTAAAAAACGATTCTAGTGCAAAGAATTAATATTACTAAATCTAACTTCAATTCAACAATGTTCCCAAATATTCCTTTTATATTTTTATACAAATCAATTCTTTTCATACAATCCATCAGCTTTACTTTATTACATTTAGCTATCTTATCATTTTGTAATAATTCCATTACTTACGTTATTTCCAAATTTCTATTTCTTCTGATCATCAGTTCTACTTTTTATTTTTCCAAGTACGATATTTTTTCACTCGCACTGTTCCTGAATGATTTCTTATTACATTTTCAAACACAAAACAATGCTTTCCTGTAAATCTACATTTTATTTTTCTGTAATTGTCAGGCGAAGCTTGTACCTGAGCGACATCCCCCTTCACGACGCCACCAGAGATCTCGTACTGATGTCGGAGCAATTCGAGGCTGATTACAAATTAACGAGAAACTTGGAATTGCTTACCGATAAATTGCAACAGACGTATCGCGAGCTCGACGGCGAGAAGCAGAAAACCGACAGGTAAGGATTTCCGTCCGTGTAATTTTCTGATTAAGGAAATCCCCATTGGCCTCGTTTGCCATTTATCCTGACGCAATTCTCCCGGAATCGAGTTTTCCGTCGTTGGAGTTGCTTTCTTGACAGGATACTCTTTCCCACCGGAAATTGGATCCCACCTCCTTCTCTCTCTCTCTCTCTCTCTCTCTCTCTCTCTCTCTCTCTCTTTTTTTTCTCACCTTCGTCGAGAAATTATGATACTTTTTCTTCTTTTTCTTTTTTTCTAAACCTCCGCCTGTTTCGACATCTACCTATAAAACTGTCATTGACACGATCGTTACACTCGGACGCCTTCTAATCTGGGAACGAATTTATCTTGGACGGTGTGTACGATGAATTTAAAGCGATTGTAGGTGAGGAAATTGAAATTGTCCGGGAGAATGAATAGATTCGGGGGGGAAAGGGGGCGAACGAAAAGAGGATTGAAATGGAAGAATTTGGTAGAATTTGATGGAATGAATTTTTATTCGAATGAAATAATATATAGGCAATATATACGTATAATAATGTAGTTTATTAAATGTTTCGGTAGAAAGTTATTGAGAAAGAGAGAGTTTGATATTTTTTTAAAATGATATGCAAGTTATTTTTATACAAGTTATTTTTATCGTGATTTTTCTCGTATCTTCAATATTGAGAGTATTTCAAAAAAAATGAAAAGAAAGTATATTAAATATCTTCAAAGTATTAATATTCCACGAATTCTTTTTAGTTTCTGGTCGAATTTTTTTTGTTTCAATACCGGGATCAAATACGAAATGTGGATTAATATTGAATCGCAGTTGCATTTTTCCACCTGTTGCCTTCTGTGATGCATTGCGTGCGTTGAAACCAGGTCACTCTGCACAAAGAATTTCCCGTATATAATCGAATATATATCTGCTGCGCAATCATATTAAAAAGAAAATTGTATTAAAAATATCGCCTGTTTGAAGTAAAAAGAAAAAATGCTAATCTTTATACGTATTCAATCTATTTAATTTTATTATTAATTAACTATTATAATAACAATTATGCGCGCAATATAAAATAGCAGACGCATTTTAATATAAATTACATTAATCTAATTTACGAAAGAAGCATTAAAGCATCAACATGATAAATATTGTACGGACGAATGATTTTCCAATGTATCAAGTGAACATGACAAGTTTATCAGTATCTCCAATATCTCTCTTCACGTATGATAGGTTTAACATGCAAAATAATATGTTTTCCTTTCCTTTAATATTTAAATATTTCATTTAACTTCGTTTCAAGATTCGTAATGAGTTATGAACGAATAAATCAGGAATCAAAAATGTACGAATTTTTCTAATTCTTTTAACTTTTAAAAATTTTCTATAAATTTCGCCGATTAGATATTTTATATATACAGTATTAAAATATCGTAAAAGCATAAAATAAATTTCACATTAAAAAATTCTCAAACATTATTCGCATCGAAAAGAAAAATCATTAGAGACAAAAAGAGGAAAAAACTAATTACTTCGTTTCGTTAAATCAATTCCTCTCTCCAACGACAATTCTAAGATAATTGCGGATCGCGATTGAAAGGAGTTGCATTTTAAAAGTTGTTCCCGCGTTTCACGCAGGTTGTTGTACTCGGTGCTACCCATTTCCGTGGCGAACGAGCTCAGGCACTCGAGGCCAGTTCCGGCGAAGAAGTACGACTGCGTGACCCTGTTGTTCTCTGGAATCGTGGGCTTCGGGGCCTACTGCGCCGCTCACACGGACTCCAGCGGTGCGATGAAAATCGTCAACATGCTTAATCAGCTGTACACCGCGTTCGACGTGCTCACTGATCCGAAGAAAAATCCGAACGTGTACAAGGTAAGCATTTATTTGCACGTAATATATACGTTTATTTTTGGGAATATAAAATATTGAGTTAAAATATATTTATTATTAAAATATTAAAAGATCTATCCCTATAAAAATTTTTGTTTTTCCATATTTAACGAATGATGGCAAAGATAATTTTGGTAATTTCACCGATATGTGAATTTAAACTTCGAAAGGATTAACAATGCTTGTGGATCCATTGAAATGGAATCCATTGAAATATGGCTCGATTCGCTGGAGGTAATAATATGGAAAGTACATCTGTATAGTGTAACGTAAAACGCTTATGGCGATGTGTATTTTTGAAAGGCGCTCTCGCGTTGGAAAGAAAGTTTCCTTCGTAATGCGTGCCGTTTAAAATGCATTAATAAAAAGTTGGGAGGGAGTTCGTAGAAAATACGAACGATAACCGTTCGTATTGTGTTAGAAATATCGGTTGTTTTAAATAATAATGCATACTGGAACGAGAGAAAACTTTTATACGTCCCTTAGGACTCCCTTTTATATAGCTTGACTGTTTTTAAAACTGTTTTATAAACTTGACTGTTTGGTCGTGAAATTCAAAAGTGTATTACAACATGTAAATTATCCTCTATATATATTACAGAATATGTATCTGAATTCATCTTCAAGAATTCCTTTTTCCTTTTTTTTTTTTTCGAATAATTCGTAACGAAATTTTTAAGATATTTTTTGCTATTATCCATTGATGATCATACGATTTCTGGAAACATTAAACATTAAATACAAAATTAAGAATTTTTTAGAGAACAGATCCTAAAACTCAGTAATCTAAAAACCACAACAATACAATTAATCATCTATCTGAATTCAAAATGGATGTTCACTGATACACCATCTCCTTCCTTCCTTCCAAAAAAAATAAATATTTCTATAAATTTTATTTTGGCGAGGTTGAAACCAAGATATAACCATTATACACCCAACAACGGATATATTTGAATTTACGAGAAGGCTTGTTAGCACTGATCCACTTTGGTCGGACTAGGTCGAAACTGTTGGTGACAAATACATGGCCGTGAGCGGATTACCGGAACCATGTCGTTGCCATGCACGGTGCATCGCTCGTCTCGCTTTGGATATGATGGATCTAGCCGCTGACGAAGTGCAGATCGATGGCGAGCCAGTGGTAAGCCTCCATATTTTTTTTTTTTATGCACCCGCTTTGCGGCTTTCAATTTTTATGTTTGCATCCGCTCGAATGATCATCCTATACGGGAAACGTTTATCATCCTCGTGTTTCCAACTTTACGATATTAATTAAATATTTCTGAATTCGAAAATGAAACGAATAACTTTTCTTTTTTTTCACATGACAATGATGAAATTTCGAACTGTTAGTTGAAAATGATGATTGCGAAATAATAGTAATTGATATTTGTTGAACGTGGATATTTTTTTCATTAAAATTTTTCAAATCTTTGTGTACTTCTCATTGACGAGCAATATGTTTAAAACTTGACGAATTTTTTATCATTTATATTGTTTTTTTTTTTTTATATTAATTCAATACTTTCTTCAATTCTCAATTGGATCATAGATAATCGAGAAGCGTTTAGGTTTAAGTTACTCAATTTTAAAATATTTAATTTCATTGTATTTTGAATTATATAAAATATAAGAAGGCTTGTTATACGAGTACAAATAAACACTATATTACACGATGATGCAACACTAAGAGCCCATTAACTATCTATAATAATACCCGTTTGTATATTTATTTATGAATTTTTTAAATCGTTTACTTTTCAAATCTTGCTACTATTATATTTTTTCTAGAAGCATGAGAAACATGCAAACATATTTTATAAATTCTTGACACGAAAGCTAACCTGTCTAACAGTACTGTTAATTAAGTATCTTAAAATTGTATAACCTCGTTCAAATCTATCATAAACTCTTGTGGTCCCGTAAGATATTGCGATCTGCCCATCTCAATCATCATCGCTATTTATTTTCCATTTCCTTACTTGCGATAATATTTCTGTAAGAAAAAAAAAAAAAAAAAAAGAAAAAAATTAACGAAACACCAGTTAAAAGCAATTCGTTTTATTCATTCATCAAACCGAACGCTTCCTCATTCCAACGCTTTCCACAACCACGTCAAACGCGGCACTCATAATTCACTCATCATATCTCAAACATGTTTGTCCCCGGTCAACAGACCGATTACACGCCAGAAGACACTTCCAAGTGAGTTGAACGTTGACTTTTCAATCCCGTCCTAAGGAGGAACTCGCATCGGCACCGGGGGACTGGCTAGATCTCTTCGTTCTTGCATTCTATTACTTACCCGTAGAAAGACTCTTGTTTCTCCTTCCTGAATACCGTCTCCTTCCTGTTCCTTCGCGAAAGCTTCCGCCGTGCGCGAATACGTGACGCGAATTCTCATCTCCTCTTTTGTAAGAGGTCCTCCCCCTCTCCCTCCGTTTCACGAAACGTGACTATTGCCCCGCAGAAAATCACCATCGGGATCCACAGCGGGGAGGTCGTGACCGGTGTAATTGGGCATCGTATGCCCCGTTACTGCCTGTTTGGAAACACCGTGAATCTGACCAGCCGAACCGAGACAACAGGGGAGCCCGGCAAAATAAACGTCTCCGAGGACGCGTACAGGTAACAAAGTTACGTTGACTCGTTTAATTTATGATAATTAGAGATTATTCTCGAAGCTCGACCGGAAAAAAAAAAACAGGATATATAGGAGAGACGAAGGTTGGAGCTCAGTGCCTCGCTTCGAATCGTAAGCGGTTTATTTTGCGCGAGGCAAACTTTTATCGAGAGCTGGCTCGGGATTTGGTTCGTTTGTTTTCTTCTTTTTCTTTTTTTCTTTTTTTTTTTTTTTTTTTTTTTTTTTTTTTTTTTTTTGCTTTTTCAAAAGCGTGGAGGAGGAAGATCCAGGTGGAATTTATCAGGGGTGATTTGTAGAAGTATTTGTAGAAGGATTATATCGAGTTGCTTTTTTTGTAAATTAACATTGTGAATTATGATAAATCGCGAAGTTAATGGAAGTTTAATGGAAAAGTTTTTATCATCCGAGAAAGCGTGTATAGGTATTTGATAACGTGAGAAATAAATATTTTGTAGCGAAGTTGAATGATACAGAGAAATTTGTTTTTTCGATAATAACGATGTTTAGGATAATTTATGTATTAATGTTTATGAACGAGTGGTCAAAGTTTAACTATTCGTGCTATTAGGATCGTTTGAAACAAAGAAATTAAAGAATGTAATAAATAATAAAACGCATTACGTATTAATTAATAAAATTATTCTGAAAATGACATATAATATAATTACTTCAAAGACACGTTTCATTTATAAAGAAATATTCTGACGTTTCATTCCATTTTACAAGCAAGCAAATACGCTATAATATAAAACTCAAGATGGCAAAAATTGTATACATAATGAAAAGATGAGGACGATCATTAGCTTTGCAAGAAAAAAATGCATAGATACGTCAAGCTTATTTTTTTCTGTACTAATATACATGGAAATGAACTCAATCTTAAAATGCTTTCGACATCTCGATCTATCAACTTTTTCTTTTCTCTCTCTCTCTCTCTGATATTCCAATAACACCTTCGGTTTCTCTTTAACAAGCGTCTGAAACACGTTACGTTAAAATCGATGGATCAAAGTATGGAAAAATGTTCTGACTACGTCCATGATTTTTGAAATTTTATGTCATTCTCCATTTTACTTAGAAACATTCTATTTTGTATTAAAAAAAAAAAAAATTAAATTTCATCGATTTCGCGTACACCTACTCGTCCATCCTGAATATCGAGAGCCCGACTCGAATTACATATTGATGGACGGTCGGTAACAATATCCGGCGACATTATCGCGACGATGAATTGTTTAGATGGTAGGTAATTGAATTACGGGAACTCGGGAAAATCTAGACGAGGACATTGTGAATTATCACGGTGGTGGGAAACGTATTCGATACGATTGGTGTAAAATTTAATGCAAAACGCCAATCGAAACAGTTACACGACGTCTGTCAGCTTGTTCCCCCCTCCCCCCCCCCCGGGTATTTTAAATTATCAATATCATCATATTGTTCGCAGGCGAATAGTTGGACGATTCGTGAAAACGACTATTACAATACTATAAATCATCGGTCATCAATTTTATTGCTAAATTTTATTGCTAATCCAACGAAACTTAAGCCGAATGATTTATTTTCACCTCGAAACGCTTTAATCCCGGCTAAAACATTCCGCTCAAACTTCGCCGCAATATTTTATAACGATCGTAAACTCCGATGGCATAACACTTAACACAGATAAGCTCCTTATGAAAAATTTAATCCACCGGTAAACCAAACTTAACCACCACATAAGCACAACACTCGCCGCTCATATTTATACCCGGAACGAAGTTCAAAATTCATAAACGGCGGTTCTTCTTTATGATATGACGGTCGCGTGATAGAAATAAAAGTGGCGAACGGGCACAGTTTCCCGTAGTTCGGATAGGATTCTCTTCGATTCTCCATCGCTTTTAACCTCGGGATATTACATTGTACGTAATTATTCGCGACCTATTGAACCTAACTTTCCTAACGTTTTAAATCTCTGTGTCTCGTGTGTTTAAATTACGGCGGCTATTAAATCCGGGTGAAAACGTTTATCTTATTTGATTGACGTTAAAATTGTTTTCGTGTTTTCGAACGCGCGCGAAGTATGTATTGAATGAATTTCACTTGTTGGATTTCGTTGTTTCTTCGCCTATTTATTTTTATCAAAATAAATAATAACATTGGAATAAGTTAAAAATTGGAATGGATGAATAATTCGGTTTGTTCAACGAATTTGTGAATGATGTTAGATTCGAAAGTTTGTCGAAGAATTTAAGAAAAGCGTAAAGCAGTTCTACGTATCTTCCATTAGAATTTAAAGTAGATATTATGTACAATCGATACACAATTTCTTTCGATTGCTTTTTCTCTTATATTGGCTACCTTCGTTTCGTCGAAATGTTTTTAATGCTTTTTAATGGTTCGATGATTTATATCATGTAATTTGTTCAATCTTAATACGTTTTCTTCCTTGACATTAAAGGAAATTTTTGCAAAAATCGGAATGAATGATGGATGAATCTATCTACGATTTTATGAAATCAATACAAATGGAGGGAAATATTTCAGCTAGGATCCGATTTTTTGTTTCTGTTCTATCGATTCGTGCTTAACGTCTCATTGAAGAATTTATTTTTCTGGCTATTTATTGAGCTGGCCTAAATTCTTCTCTTGAATTACTTATATTTAACTGTTTCCAGATATTTGTTTGAATCCAGCATTTCATTTCTTTGGCAACATTCGTAACAGATAATCCTTTCCCAATACCATGAAATACTGAACGGAACTTAATATCGTAGGTCAAAAGCGCAACGAATCTTTGAAACGATTTAACAGTATTTACAATCGTTAAATACTGCACAGAAAACTAAAAAATGATATAATTTAAAAATAAATGTACAAGTTTCATGTAATAAAATATCCATTTGAAATCAACATTCAGCAAAAATACAATCTAATCAAAATTACAATTGTTAAAAATGATACATATTCTCTAATGAATAGCACAAAGGTATTGAATTATATAATCGTAAAACTAATAATAAAAAAAACGTCCCTTAACAATATTCAAAATAAAGGAAATGTAAAATATTATTCCTATATAACTTTCAATTCGATAAAAACATTTTTCAATTTACATTTACATTATTTCTATTTCCGTCCATATTGGTACAATTCGATCGTTTGAATGATTGAACGCTCTGCGCTATCATGAACGTATGTATATATGTATGTTCTATCATAGGTCCAGTATAAAATATCACGTGTAAAATATTACGTGGAAAACTCGATTCACCAGTATCGAAATTTATACGATCACTCTATTATATAGAACTAGTTCGATCAACAAGTTGATAACTGATACGCAACAGTTCAAACGTTATCTAAAAGAAATTGCGTTCAAAGTTATAAACAACTTTACGTTTTAGCATACATTTAGGCTACATACACTTCGTTTGATTTTATCTTCAAACTTTAAACGTATTCATGGAAACTGTCTATGATTATATCTATTATTTTCTTTCTCCAAGTAAATTTATTTCTTAAATTCTTACGCTGTGATTAAATTTTCGTTCTTGAAGAACTTGAAGAAAGTTTCCTTCTTAAAAAAGGATCCTGATTTAATAAAATTTCACGTTACATTAATAAAATTAATATTACTTGAAAGAGATGAAAAAGGAAGATCTAATAAATCACGCATTATAATAATAGCATATACATAGATATATATATAAATAATTTCTATCACGTATCACACAATATTTATCTTAAACGAAATATTTATACACGTACAAATACATTCATCGATCCGAAACATAATAAAAACACGAGCCACAAATTTCACAAACATCTAATCAATTTCCTCGATATTCGAATCGTTAAGTATATATACAATATTCATTTAAGGCCTCCAATTCCACAATACGTATATTTCACGTGGTTCCATGATTCTCCTACACCGCCAATATTCCTCCCAAACTTTCACCTCGGTGAAAAAATATCCTTTCTCCGGCGAAAAGAATAGGCGAGCTCGATTCGATAATTCAAATCCCTGAAAATTTCTGAATCTCAATCTCGAAGCAGATCCAAATAACTCCTCAACGACTCGGGTATCTGAAGTTGCTGTATCCCGTGCGGCAACGCCCAGTTCTCGAACAGGGCCTCCCTGATCCGGCACCGGCAAAGATGTCTCAATTCAGGGGGGCAAAGGCCGCTCCTCTCGGGCGGCACCAGCTTCTGCTCGACCAAAGTCGGATACTGTTCGTAAACGGAAACGGTGAGCACGCCGCTCTGCTCGGCAATGTATTCAGGCGTCTTCACGAAACCGGTCGTCACGGTTCTCAGCACCAATCTCAGGCAGAGGAGCAAATGTTCCGGGTACGCGATCCTCTCCTGGCCCGGCTGGGCGTCGTACTCGCTCAGCTTGGTCAGCAGTATCTCGAGGGGGCTAGGGGCGAGTTTGTCGCATTCGACCGAGGCGCCGTAACGGAGCATGATCAAAAGGATGTCCGGCGAGCCGTGTTGGATGGCCACTCTGAAAGGCGACACCTGGCCGTAAGATTCCATGGGAACGTCGATGAATCTTTGTTTGACGGGGGAACAGGCGCAACGGTACTCCAATTTGCCTAGGGTGGCGTGGCGCAAGAAGTACATGAGGGCGCGAAGGTTCTCCTCGCGGTCCTCGAAGTCGCTCTTCCACCCGGACAGGAAGTGAGTGACACGGGTGCCGAAAATTGCACCCACCAGGATGCGCTCGAACGTTTTCTCGCAGTAGAAGATGTCGTTGAGCAAGCGGGACACGATCTCGTTGTTGTCTAGGTTCCAATCGAAGCAGAGCTTGGCCGCCACGTAAAGAACGTTGTGGAACTTGCCGAGAAGGCACACGTATCCGTTCTCCATCATTGCTATGTTGTGGTAGCGGAGGGCGGACATCACTATCCTCTCGCAGACGTCTTGCTTGTCTAGGTTTTCAGCTGGAAATTTCGGAAAAATTAATTAGAAAATTTATTTTATTATTGAGAAATAAATCGGTTAATCGTGTTTTTTAAATTTAATCGTGCGAAAGAGGAGAAGTTCGATAGGAGTGAGTCAAGCGTTGTATTGACAAAATAGGTAATTTACCGAAAGAAACGTTATTTCTTAAACGGGTTGCTGGTATTAGTTGGTTCTAGGTTAGATACGCATTATTGTAAATCAGGTTAATACGTGTGAAAGAGGATAGACATTAACCAGGTAACCGGTGAATTACGGTTCGAAAGATGTTCATTATTCCTGTTAATTGATGATCCAAGGATGATCACGTTAGAAAGATAATTATCGCGGTGAAAGTAACAAGTTTAACGCTTAACGTCGATATTTCACGATCACCGCACAATTTTTCACTTCCTTGGAAACGTAAGTTCTTTCTCGTAAGATTTAACCCTCGAAAAACACGCTGCCGATGCTTTCCTAAAATCGTTTAATCCTCGATATAATCATCGATACTTGAGCTAATAAAATTTCTCAAGGATGAAATAAAACAATCGAAATAAAACCTTCTCGATTTTCCATAATCTGCATTAACCTCGCTTTATTTCTATCCAAACAATTATTTCTACTCACCGCGCGAATCATAGAGCGATCGCGACTTGCGAAACCAACCATGTTTTCACGGATAAACGATTCCATCCGCGTCGCTTCAGGTGGTCGGTTTGCATAATTTTTCGAGGAAAGTAAAATCATACGGTGGCACAAGTACGATGCACAAGTTTCTCCCAAGTGTATAACATTACACCAGTATCACTTTCTTTCCGGCATTCCTCGATCGAACCACTTTCATGGTCGCACAATACAGTTTCTAGGAGGTGGTGGACGAACCGAGAGAACTGGTGAATCGAAAACGGTTCGTCCAACCGCGTTGACACGGTCTCGAATCGATTCCCTTCCCCGTTAGGTGTACGGTAAATTCGTAATTTAAAATCGTTCCCTCGGATCGTTCCCAATTTTCTAACCAATGTCTCGATTCGATGTTTTCTCGGGTCGATCGGTAATATCCGATCGGACTATATCGGCCGATTCAAACTGTTTCAACAAACCGATTCAGATTTACCTTGCGAACAGCTATTAATCACGTCCGAGAAATAGCCGACCATCTCGCGACGTTTGTATCGTGAGGCCAGACAACTTCGATCCATTTCCGAGAACAACCTGTCGAAGTAGCAGTCGATCAACACCTCCATCGCCTCTACTTGATGATTGTAAATCTCGACAATCGACATGCACCGATCTTCTGTCAACCTTCGAGATTTGAAAGCACAACTACGTCGTGACCATTGCACGCTTCTGAATGATGGCCGTTGACGAGGAGTCGCGAAAACGAGAGAGAGAGAGAGAGACAGAGAGAGGGTTAATTCGATTAGACGTTAAATAAGTATATTCCAAGGGCTTCATCTTCGTTCGATCGTGAAGGGTGGATTCGTGAAACTACCTGTGTAAAAAGTTTCGAACACGTTGTAGATGAACGCTCGGTGTATTGGTAATTAAGGATTTTTTTGAAAATCGGATGAGGTTATGGTAATACGCTTATGATAATAAATTACGTGACGTGGCTTGAAGTTGGGATAGATGAGCGATAAATTTCCCTCGGATACGTGTGATTATGGTAAATATTTTTAAATTGTTTGGAAAGAGGTACACACCGTCAGCTTTATGACCCTAAGACCGTGTTTAATGGTTTTGTCCCGAATTACAAGAGGGAGAGGGAGCGAGAAGTTGGCTTTTTTTTTTATTTTCCACGCGCAACGCGCGTCTGTGGAATGGAAACTATCGGGACAGTTATCGGACGTTTGAAGATTTTAAATGGATGTTAATTTTCTTATTAATTCCTCTTCAATTTATCGCGCTCGTATTGATGTCTTCCTTCACTACGGATATTTATAGTGTAATGATATTCATTCGAGAAAATCTACCTCTTTTTTTTTACGAATTATTAAAAATTTTTAATATAATCACAAAGTTTTATTTTATAATTATATTACAAATTGAGAATATGAAAATTATATAAAATTATAAAATTTATATGATTATATGATTATATGATTTAGATCAATTTGTGAATATCAGAGAATAAAGTATTATATTTTATAATGATAATTTTAATTTCGCGCAGCTGTATGTGTATAAAGTTTGCAAATTAATATCGATATAAATTATATAATTGCTACATCCATCAAGGTTTATCTAGATATTTTTCAGATAACGAAATATTGTACTTTATAATAATAATCAATTTCAATTAATTAATCAATAATCAATTTCCATACCAATGAATTTAATATTCATTATCGATTTGTTATATATCAGATAACCATGATAATGTTATCATTACAGGTACCTGTGCATGCCAGAGAACCAGGATTCTCAATTTCTGCTTGAATACAGAGGACCCGTGACTATGAAAGGCAAATCGGAACCGATGAACGTTTGGTTCCTGTCCAGAGAAAGGGAGCTATCCGCGTAAATTCGCAATCACTATGGCAGCCGCCATTTTAGCAATACTTTTCGGCTCGAACTCTTTATTCGTTTAGCGCGTTCTATAGATTTTTACAATGCTAATATTCCATGTGATCTTTGACTATCGTATGAAATTGTTGAAAATATCTTTGTAAAAGTACGATATTTAATCCTAGGATGACTTCGATTAAGAGAATTTAATTCATAGATTCTTCTATTTTTTTTTTGTAATTATTAAAATTTGCTTCTTCTTTAATTTCGAAGGTGTTGGCTATAAAAATTATTTTTGATTATTAAAGATACGTGATCTTTGTGTACAATATATATTTACGTAATAGTTAGATTGTACTAAATTAGGCTTAAACGTTAGGTAGAAATCAATAGTGAAAAGTTTTATCGAGAATAATAATTTTTGCAATCGTAAAATTCTGTCATAACAATGTATATTACTCGCAAATTACAGTTGAAGAATTATAGTAACCACCACGATACACGAATAAACCGCACGATATAAAAGTAATCGTACGTTTCAGCAAAAATGTATTGAGAAATATAAGGATAAGAAGAAAGAGAAATTTCAACAGTAACAAATAGCCTCGAAGGAATAAAATTTAAACGAAGAACGTTTTCTACGAATTCGTCGACTCGTTAGGCAACATTCGATCCTAAAACGTTACAACACTTATATATATATATATGTATATATTATTTGCATTTCTATTCACGCGTTACCAACACGTTCAATTCTTCAATCAGAAGAAGAAGAAAAAGAAAAGAAAAAAAAAGAAAAAAGAAAAAAAACGAAACAAAATTTATCATTAATAAGAACTCTTCCTAGATTTAATTCGTGCTAAATACGGTTCCTCGTCAAATATATATCAACGTCCGCGAACACGAATGTCCAGTTACCAACTTAACGACCAGTGTTTATCACTTGTAAATGTAAGAGGCAATTAAATATAAATGTCATCGATACCGTATAACATGTCCATCGACGTTATGCGAAATTTCTTTCCCCGTTTCTCGCTCGTACAGGTTGTCGCCATAGTCACACAGGTCGCCAGAGGTGTAGGATGGCCTCGCCCTTAAACGAGGAAATAAAAAAGAAAAAGAAAAGGGGAATGGGGGGGGGAAAGGAGACGAGCAGAGAGGTAGCTCGATGGAATGTTTCGAAGCTGGAAGGTGTAACGGAACCTGTTCTGCTATCCAACGCGTCCCACGCAAGGTCAATACACAGATATCTCGCGCTCAACACGATCAAAGATGCGACACAGATTCCAACCATCATTTTTCCTTCTTTTCCTGGTGGACGAGGAATATCTCAATACAACGCTTCGTGCCGCGAAAGTAATATATCATGCTTGTTAGGAACCGGACAAGGAGTCTTGGTTCTTTTATATATTTACGAGTTTCATTCCCCCATGTGTTATACAATCATCTACAAAAATCTTGGGTGGAAAAGTAAAGAAACATTGTGAAAAGTAAATTTTTATCTCGACGTTTCTTCGATTTTTGACGCGTAAATTCAATGATGAATCGATTTAATTTTTGTTTTTTTTTTTTATTATTATGGAATGTTCAATGTTAATTCTAAAGTGAAATTTTAACAATAACTTTCTTTGAATCAATTTTGAAAGTCTCCTCGGATGATTGTATGTATATCGTATGTATAATACATGTGTACATTTTATTTTGTATTTCATTGGTGTTTTGTTGCATATTGTTTGAAAATATTGTCTAACGAATGATAATCAAGTTAATAGTTGCAATTTGTTTCATTGATTTTACGACTCTTTTATTATTATTTGTTATTTACATACATGTAAATGGTAAATTCGAAATTACACGTATAATTATTTATAACGTTATTAGAAGTACAAGTAGGTTACGTGTATTTACCAAGATTTATAAGTTATATCTTTAACTATTCACGTGTTAAATAATGATAATAATAATGGTAACATCTCTGAACAGTTAAGAATATCTGTATACCTATTTATTAATGTTAAATTTCTGTGAAATAACTACGTTATAATAATTACGTTAAAACCTGCAAGCATATGACAAATATAAGTGAACTTGATATTTATTGAGTAAATAATCTTTGTACGATTTGATTAATATAATCTTCGTACAAATAGTAAGTACGAATACTGGAAAGAAAATTAAATTATTAAATAGGTTGAGTCCTCTCTCAAACAAGCTTTATACGAATATTTCGTTTAATAACTTAAAAAGCAATTTTATGCATACATAGCACGTATATATAATATTATATTAATTCTTTCATCAATTTTCTTCTCCAATGATAAGTAATTTCGAATGATGAATAATATTCAATAATAAATTGAAGAATTCTAAACTGCAAGCAATTGGATTAACATATACAGGAAATACAAAAGAAATTTACTTTTAATTTCAGAAAACTTTAATTTTACTCGATGAATTAATTGGAAATAAAAATTCATATCGATGTTCATGTGTATTATTATAAAGTATCTAAATAAATTCTTCTTTCAATATGAAAAACAATTTTGTTATCTTACCTTTTTGTATCTCGAATACCATCACTTTCTTTTACATGCGTTTATACTTTACTTTTATAAATATTTTTGTTCGATAGTACACTTCTCATACTTCTCATAAAAAAATATACGCGATACCACAAATTGTATACCAGCATATCCAACGGAGCTAAACTCCATACAATTTCCAACAGCATCATTCGTCTCGAAACCTGTATACAAGCATAGGATCAAGAAGATTAAAAAAAAAAAAAAAAAAAAGGGAGAAGGAAAAAAAGGAAGCGGATTATGGTTTTCTAGACACGCCGGTTTCATGTTATTTTAACTGTTTATAAAATCGCTTATTCAATCGCATGCCGCGGTAAGTGGTATGCAGAATACAGGTTTCGCGAGGTGGAAAGAAAGGCGAACACTCAACTGGTTTACCGGGTGAGGTATGTGGAAAATAAGGCCGAATAATAAAGGAAATAAAAAAGAAAAACCATCCGATGTTATGGGATTAACCGATCGCCGATACTCGCTCATCTCACGAAATCGTGATTTAAACGGGGGGGGGGGGGGGGNAAAGAAAGAAAAAAATTGATATTTACAATTCTGGGAATTTTCCAAGCCACAAATTAACTTCGCAACTCGTTCTTTCTTTCTTTTGTTTCTTTCTCGTTTGATAACGTGTACGAACACGTATAATCGATGGTAAATTTTTCACGACACGTGCGTGAAACGTTGTATCGCGAGAGCCGAGGGTAAATTTGGGTGTGAATACTCGTGGAGGGAAAATATACAAAAAATATGTATCGACGGTCGATACGTGATCACCGTATGGTTCGAGGGGGTTGCATGGAACGAGCGCGTTTCCCGTCCACCCGCCGAGGATACTTTTCCTTCCTTCCTTTCTTCTTCGAAAAGCGAATTCCACGATCGATTTCTACTCATTTGAATACACAGATATTCGGAATTAGCGTGACATTATTTCGCTTTCTCGGATAACTGTTACTTATCAGGCAAGTAGATAAATCAGGTGGAATAATTACTTGTGGAGGAATAAGTTTGCGAAGAAAGCAAGAGAGAGAGAGAGAGAGAGAGAGAGAGAGATATTAAGTATATAATAACGTATAAAATTAACCTAGATAATGATAACGGTGTTGAGGTAAGCCTAGGTCGTGAGACGTTAGATTTGTTATCAAGAGAGAGAATTATAATGGCATTTATTTGCTGTTTTTTCGCTTGGGATCATCATTATTTTAATAGATATCTCGGTTGATTTCTCTGGAGAAAAATTACCATCCATAGTTCCAACATTTGTCAATTGATCATGGTGACCTTAAATATGGAAATTTTTTACTATTTTCTACAAATTCGATCTGAGTTTTAAATTTCATTAATTTAGGATCCATTGAAAAATTTTAAATTTAAATTTTATTAATTGAAAGGTTTAAATATGGAGATGTAATAAAGTATAAAGTGATAGAGTAAAATTTTCATCTAGATTTGAGCAGAAGGTATAAGATAACATTATTTGAAAAATAATGAATTATTGCAACTATTAATAATGCAACAACAATTAAAATATTAATTGTTTCAAAAAAATAACATTTTTTTTTCCCCTCTCCTTTTTTATCACGGTAAAATATTTTATTCCATAGGTTATAGATCATAAAGCGTTACATTTTGCCCGGTAGGTGTCTACGACGTTTCATCGTCACTTTTACAATAGGGTTGGGAATACGTGCGGCAAAGTTTGATCAATTTTATCATAAAATTCGAGTAAAGCTCTAGATTAAATTTGAAACGACAAGAGGACAAATAAACGTATTAAATATCAATTGCGTGAGTTGGAAATTTATACGACGATTAGAGAATATCGATCGAATTTTCCCAGATAGGTAAACGAACTTTCGTGGAAATAAGCCGACACTTCGGTCTAACAAAGTTCGTAATAAACGAGATTAAACCTTGATAACTCAGTTCCTTATTCATTATGCCACACACGTCTCGGTAAATGAGATTAAATGAGTTGAATCTATAACAATCTCTCCATAAAGTACTCACGATTCTCTCTAAATGGTGTAAAGTTTAACATAATGATCATGTACCAACCATTTAAAAGTTATAACAAATTAATTTGAAACGTCATTAAAAATAATATTAACAATTAATAAACGCATCGATGAAACGTTGTTAAATGACTTTTATTAACAATGATCTTGTTAAAAAATTATAAGTAGGTGAATTATAAGTTTGGCTTAGAGAATAAAAAGTGAAAAATATAATTATAAACGAATCTTTAAAACAGAATTTTATGTAAATGTCGAACAACAATGTAAGTAAGGAGTGAAAAATTTGCAAGAAATTTAAAATAAAAATAGCGATGAAACGATACTGATATTGATATGTATCTATTCAACACAGCTAACAAGAGAAGTTGAATCACGTTAAAAGTTATCTTCTGAATATGTATTAATTACATTTGTATATAGATACATGTGATACCTTTTTCCCCTCTTCCAGATTTTTCTTCTCTCGTTTGTACTTTAAATCGATCCTCCCGGAGACGTTTCGTCGCGACGAGAAGAACTCAACTTGTTCTTTTTTCACTTCGGCTCGGGATCAGCTTCGACTGGGTTGCTCAGAGTTCCACCTGTTCAAGTACCAAAGATGACAAAGTAAAGCTAGGCAAATTTATTCTGAGTTTTCTTCGATTTTGCGCTTCCACGAACGTGACACGTGTTTGTCTATATATACGATATCTGTTATCCTATGGAAATTTAACTTATCACTTGTTAACGTTTTAAATATTTCGCGTGAGAGAAAATAAACCTTTGAACATTTAATATTTTTCAAATATATTTTCCACGATTAATATTTATAATATGCAAAAGATATTAATGCTTGATGCAATACTGCACAAATGCAAACAAACATAACTCATAGTATTTTTTTAGAGGAATGTAAATTTCTCTCCCACAATATTACACCACGTAAAAATACGTATCTCGTTTGAAATCACGATGCCAATAGTATGACTCACATAGCTAAATAACTCACGGCTTGATATCGATAATCGACTGTAATTATTCTTTGCTAATATCCGCGAATGGTAAATCCGCGATGATTGCATTGGATCAATCTCTATCGAAGACGAAAAAAAAAAAAAATCGTCTCCACGTCAATATTCAATATAATTGAGAAAAGTTGGTGGCATCATCATCCAGAGAAATCCATTCATCGCTTCCACAATGTGACGCGAATTATCGAAGAATTACAACCGTTTTGCTCTCGTGTAAAAGTAATTACACGGTCGTTTGCAACGCTTACGGTTAATAGGGGCAAACAAAAGGAACAATCGTTGCGTAATTCGCTCGATACGTTCTTTCGTCACGGGAAACATTTCCTTGCCTGTATCGAGAAAATTCGCCATTCTCGCTATTATTCTCTCGTTTACTTTCCATTCACGCACTTCATCCGCGTATATATACATATACATGCATATATATACACACATATCTACGAATACACGCGTACAACCTTGGCGAGATAGACACGCTGGATGATCGATCTTTCATTCCGCTCCAAAGAACGCTGAACGGTATCAATAAAATTTTAGCAGGTGTACCCATTCGATCTGGTACCCATATATGCCCGCACAACCTATCTCGAACAACCTGTGTGTACAAAGCTCGCACGAAATGTGTACACACGCACACGCGAGAAAGCCGGTGAACGGTAAAGAACAGGTATTTAAATGAGAAACCGGATAGTCGATTCTACCTGGCTCGGTAGAGGACGCCACGTCCTCCTCAAGCAAGTGCTTACGTGCCAGACGACTTCCAAGAGAGACCCGTTCTCGTCCACCCTTCTTCCACTCTCGCGCCTCTTTCTCGCTTATTCATCGATACACACGCTCGCGCGCTCGTCCTTTCACTCGCTCGATCGCCCGTTAACGCGCTCGCTTGTTCACTCGCACTTCGTCCCGCCTAACCGCTTATTTACCTACCCACACACTCGAATATCAGGTCTTTCACTCGCTCGCTCATTCATTCCGTATTCCATCTCTCCCGTTTCTTCTCTCTCTCTCTCTCTCTCTCTCTTTATCTCTCTTACTTCATCTACGAACCTTCTCGTTCCCGATCTCTTTCCTTTTTCGCCCGTTCCAAAAGCCTCCACACGTCGCTACATCCTACGTGTGCTGCTACGTTCGCGCCGCGTTCGTATGCGTGCGCACGCTCGCCGTCTGGCCCATACTACCCCCACTCCGCGACAGAGAACCAGCCGACGTTCCCCCACTCCCGCGTTTCGCTGTGCCCCGTCGCGAGTCCCAACTTGGCCCCCCACCCCGGCCAACGAAACTGCATGAGTAAGTGTCAGAGGCACTCAGTACAGTTACTGACGGCCCGTACCGTGAACGATCGCCGTCGTCGACCGTCGTCACCGTGTCGTCGTCGAATAGAGTCGCGGTTTTACCATGCGCTGCTCTTGATAAACGTATGCGGTTAGTAAGTGGCGGCTACTCTTTCTCTCTCTCTCTATCTCTTTCTCTCTTTCTCTCTCTTCTCTCGCGTTCTCTTCTCTCCTTCTTCCACGAACGTTTCGTTTCAACGAACTCCTTCTGCATTCACGTCGTTTCTCCAAGGAGGCAAATTCTCTCTATTCGTCTCTTTCGCGGATGTTTCCAAATCTTTCGCAATTCGCTCTTCAAGAACGTTTTTCGAGTGTCGATTAATCGCGACTACGATTTATCTCGCGGACGATAATTATTCCCAGCAGAGATCAGAGGCAGTGTCGCAGATCGATTGCGTTCGATCGGTTAACGAGCATTGGAAGTTATTAGGAAACCACTTTCTGTCTTTCTGTGCGCCAGATTCGAAGTAAAAACGGTGGTGATTGAAAGTCTCGTACCCATTGGATCTGGACACGAGAACAAAGTACTTGACACTTCTTGTCGACGATTTCGCGCGCAGTGGGTCCGGAAATCTGCGATATGTCGCGCCATATGTTGCCTTCCTCGTCGTGAAATTATCGCCTACGTGACTCGTTACGTAGAAAAATTATTAAATCTCGTCTAAAAAACTTATCGTCACGTGGCAATTAACTTGATTTCATTCTAGTAATTCGAATCACCCATCCGTGTCATCAACGGCTTTTACGCGCTACGTACTTAAAATACCGATCGAGGATTCCGATTAATTCGAACGCATTTCCAATCACACTATTATCGACGCCCTATAAAAATTATTCCGATTAATTAAGGGATCCCAAGCGCATATATACATACACATACATATATAAAAATCTGATTTCCGCAGGCAGAGAAAGGGAGAGAGAGAAAGAGAGAGAGAAAGAGAAAGAGAGAGAGAGAGAAAAGGAAAGAAAAGAAAAGAGAGAAGGGAAAAGAGACGCGAGTACGAAGAAACGGGAGAAAGCAGAGGATCGGTTCGGTTGATGACCAGGTGTATCTCGTCGACGTAGTGACAGTGTCCTCGAATGCGTATATGGACGAGGTCGCCACGATGACCGTTCCACCGACACTGCCGGCCAAGACTCAGCCCCCGAGTCAGGTTGCCCGACAGACTGTGTCAATCCGGACTGTTTCCAATCCCCCCACAGCTCCTCTGAGCACAGGGGCCGGAGCAACGGTATTCGTCGGTCTGGCAGCTCCTGGCGTCGATTCCTCGGCGGCCTGCAGAAGAAGAATCCCGGAAGTGCAAGCCGCGAACGGGTACGGTAAGCAGAGTGGCGTGAAGTCGGCGCAGAGCTCGCAGAACCAGCACCAACAACAGCACCAACACGCGCAACAGCAACAGCAACACCACTACAACAATCATTATCAGCAGCAACAGCAGCAGCAGGCGGCCCATGTGGTGAAAATCAAGATCAATCCGGATGGTGAGAAGAACGGAAGGGTGATATCGACCGTACGATTGACGCTGGACGAGAAGGTGGTCGGGCACGAAGCCGAGAAGGAGAACGGGATCGCGTGCGAACGTTCGGGCAAGCGTGACGGTGGTGTGGTCGTGAGTGCGACGAATCTGGTGAACGAGCAGCGTTGTGGAAGTGGCGGTGTCGGTGACGGCTGTGTGAGGATCAGTGTCGGCTCGAACGCCTTCGAACGCAACAACAATCACGATAACGGTAATTTACGCAAGGACAAGCGCGATCGGAGCCACGATAACACCAACGAAGAAAAAGATATGGTACTGCACCGTGAAACGTCCGTCGAGCCTCCTATGAACGCCTCCTCCCCCAATAATAATCGTTCCACCGCCTGCTTCTACTACAACTCGTATCCCGGCCAATTGAACGGGATGGTGATTTCCAGCGGCCAATGCTCCCCCAGCGACACGTTGGACAGCGGGACCTGCAGCGATCTGGACGGCACACCGCCGCCTCTTCCCAAGAAGAAGAACTCCAGTACGGTTATCCTTGCCAGCGATCAGCACAATCGTACAGGCAGTTTGACCAGCAGCGGAGCGGAAGTAGACAGCGACGACAACGAGAGCAACATCAGCTGCGATTCCTTGAACGGTGGCGAGTTGACCGACAGAATAGCGAACGGTGGCATTAACGGGAACGAGGCTGGCAGGCCATCCTTGGAATTTCCAGAACGCTCGGAGAATTGCCGTCTGAAGAACGGGGTGGATCGTGAGAAGTACAGGGACACGGAGACCATCTTGGCGTTGAACCGGCTCGACCTGTCCACCGATCAGAACGAGGAAAATCGAACTCACGAGGAGGAATCGAGCGCGGCTACCTCGAGCCCCGAGATCGACTCGAGTTCTTGCTCGACCAGAGCCTCCCCCAGCGTGTCCCCCTCGCCGTCCGGGACTTCCTCGTTGTCGAAAGCCTCCTCAACTCCGAGGATCAGGAGTCCGGTCCTGGCCACCGAGCAGAACGGCAGGCTATCGTCCCCGGTTGTGAAGGAGTGCACTTACGAGGAGAGGAAGCAGGAGCAGGAGAGGTTGGAGCAGGAATCAGGTGACGTGGACACCAGCGTCAACCCTTTGACCGGGAAGAAATACGTGTACGAGTACGACAGGTTCTATAAGTTTCACATAAACGAGTTGAAGGGGAACAAAGACAGTGGTAGGGGTGTGGTGTTAGGCGATAAGGACACCGACGAGTGTTTCGCCGGTTACAAGATCCTCGAGAAGGAAGCCATACGCAGTGCCAAGGGAACTGTGCGCGGTGTCAAAAACAGGGTTCGCGCTGGGATCGCGACGTTCCTTCAGAAACCCTCTTCTCAGGTTCGTATATAGTTATGTCTATACACAGTTTGTTTCGAAATCTAGGAAAATTTCTATTATGCGCCAATTAATGGTTGGATGAAGGAATGCTAAATATATAAAGAAAATTTTTAAATTAATGACGTTTATTCGTGCCCCTGGTAATTGTTTGGAGAATTTTATTTTACTCGTCGAAAGCTGGATACACTTTTTCATGATTAGGAAATATTTATGGTATATAACTGTTGGACGCGACTCAAAGGAGGATTCGGTCGAGAAGTTTGATAAGTAACTTTTGGGTCGTTGGAAAAATGGAGATGCACGGTGAAAGGCGTATTCGAAGGTCAGAGGGACAGGATGTCGAAAAATTTTGCGAGCCGTTGGTCTAGATTTCACCGAATACCGGCGGCACGTGGAATCTTTGGCTCCTCGTGACCGCGATCTGTTGCTGTTCTGTCTTTAATGCAGACTTTTTGTAGTGCTAACGCGTGCGTCACAGAGATCTTTCATTGCCAATAACGTGTTCAAGAGTAAATCCCTTCAGAAAGCAAACGATCAAAAATCGTTTCAAGATTTATCCTATATCTCGATACGAGTTAAAACCCGAAACTCGATCGATTTCAAAAACTTGTTAAGAAAACCAACGTGATCACTTGTCAAGCACAGATGATTATCAGTCATCCTACAACAAACAGTCATCGTGTCCTCTTCAAAGAATTCTAAAGAAATCTTTCGCAAAAACTCGTCTCTTTTGCAATTTTTCATTACAATTTTTGCCAAAATAAAAAGGATATCGTCTCCGTTCCGTTTCCAATTCTCGATGTCAAAAACCGCGTCAAAAGGTATCGAAACGTGAAAGGATGTGACGTGCCTTAAATATCGACTCGAAATGGTCGAGGCCGACTGACAGCCTCTCCTAAACGACGCGACGATTTGTTATGCAAATCAACCTCCGACACCACACCATGTTTCAACACTGTCCAATCGAACGGTATCGAATGGGCCAAGCTCTCGAACCCCATCGTCTACCCCCTCTATCTATTTACGTCTTTCGAGCGATATACCGGATTGGGAACGAGGGATCTATCGGGTATAACGCGAGTGGTCGAGCGAAAAGCGTTAGATTTACAGTTAGATCACCTCTATCGTCGACCAGTTTGGATCGACCAGTTGACTGGCATCGATCGATGACGTAGACGGCGTCCCATGTGGTCCTGATGCAAGGTTTCCGGTGTTGCCATGCGAGCCGCGTGCATAGAACGTCGAGAAACGTATATATACGTCGATGCAGAACGGATCGACATAACGGTAGATCCGATAAAGCGATATTACGGCAACGTGCGCGAGGATCGTGCTCGTTGTCCCTAGTTGTAAACCGGTATTCCTCCTCTTTTTCCTCCATCTCTCTCTTTCTCTCTCTCTCTCTCTCTCTCTTCTTTTCGTCTTTCACGATCTTCTCCACTATCCAAGGGGCTCCAAGTTAAAATCTTTTGTTTGTTGCACAGATCTTATTTATTGTTCTTGCGTGGTTCTTGCGTTTGATTCGATATTTGGCTGTTTGTTCTCACTTGGTCGTGAGAAATTTTGGATGGAAGTTAGGGAAAGGAGAATTGAATTACTTCGGTCGATTGGGGATTTCTTTTGGGATTTCGCATTCGATCGAATTTTCTTTGAGAATGTATTCGTTGTTGATTCATTGGTTCATTGTAAATGAGTTTGTTTTTGAAAAAATTTTCTTATTGTTCTTGTTTTTCTAATGGTAATAACGTAGAACGAGATATAGTTTAAGTAGAAAATAGTTTAATTTGAACAGGATATTGGCAAGGAAGGTTTAATGATTATTGAGGATGAATAATTTATCGATTCGAAATGGAAATGTTCTAAGATGTATTGTGGTCACTGTATCGAGGAAAGAAATATTTATAATCTTCCAAGAAATACAAAAAATATAGAATCGAGCAATGTTATATAGATTTCTCTGTTTATAGCAACAATAACGACACGTGTTCTTCGTTTATTACAAACACGACGTTGTAAATATCATTGCAAATAATACGTATGTTTGCATTTTACCAGAAATGGTACGATCGAAATCGATGATCTTACGATTTTGTTTCACGATTGGCTCTCGTTAAAATGCACAAATCTGTGCCGATCGTATAAAGATTACACATAAATGTAAGATATTTATTGAATCAGTTCGAGTTCTATACGAGCAGAATGGGAACAATCGGACGTAAAGTCGGTTGGGAATATTCAATGGTGGCCGATGTTCTACTTTCCGCCGCGAGAGTTTATTTACAATCGTGCATGAGCTAATTTACGCGATCGACTTTTGTACGTAGATCGAATAAATATACGAAGATGTATATATATTTTATGTGATTTCGAATAAGCATAAGATATACGATAGAAAGTTAAATTAATTAGAAAAGAAAATTAAGAATGGAGGATACACGAGGATGATCGGGTTGATTGATAATAAAGTGGAATAATTATTAAAAATAACGTAATAACGGGGATAAAATGGAATAATTAATAGAACTAATTCCGGTATAACGCTCTACAGTGCTCTACCTTCGTTCATTGTCCTTTTCCAAGAAGCATTAGAAACCACAGAAACCTCATTTTTGCGTGTAACTGTTACTCCTATTACGTAGTTTCTTAATACTTTTATATTATATCACTCATCTTACGTAATAAGTCTGATAACTATAATAACCCAAGGTTACAGATATTCCATCAAATTATAAAGTGGAAAAAAGAGGAGAAATATATTGGATATCATTTTGTGATTAATTTAAGATTGTCCTAAAAGAAAAAATAAAAAAACAACAAAAGAGTAAAATTTTAAAGAATGTCATATCGAATTGTCAAATCGAAGATTCAACTTGAACATATTCGTTTACAAAAATTTTATTTAGTAAAACTTAGAAGCAACAATGATTTCAATATACCGTATCAATAATAATTTATTCGATTACAAATTTTACGTCACTTTTCTATCGAGGGCGAGATATTATATATTAAATTTTACACATTTTTCTCCAACAACATGGAAACGCTTAAACCCTTAATGCAAGAGAGAGCTTGCCACAGTGTGACAATGTTTGTTGCCAGTAAAGCAGCGTAATGGCCGCGTTTCGCAATGCGTTTCTTAAAGCCTCCTCGCAACAGGTACATTTACGGGAGTCATTTACTTAACGACAATTTTGCTTGGTTTCTTAACGCGTTTCATTAGAGAGGGGAAAAGAAAAATCGAAAAAAGGGAATACACCAAGTTACGGTCAATATTCCATGGCACGACAACTACAGAAACCACCCGGAATTCTCTTCTCCCTCGAGAAGAGAAGATTATTCGTCGTAAGGTAATCTGCGTGATGGTGTCGTAACTGTGCCGCTTTTCTTGCCGCGCAAAAATGAGATCGTCGGGTATGCAATTCGTTTCATCAGCTGGCACACGCGAATCCGTGTCGCGGTTACGTCTGGAAACGTCTTACAACCTCTTGATTTGCTCCATTATGAATGAATCACGTGTGGCGAGGTATATTAATTACGCAGGTGGATAATTGGTGATATCTCCTGATGCCTGATGTTCTAAGACTGTTGAATGTCTTTATTATCGAATCGTTCCACCTTGATTTATGCTATCCTATGTGTTTGAAATATTTATTCCTCTTTGATTGCGACGTTTGGGTATAATTTAAACCTTGGATTGGTTTCATTAGTCTGTTTCACTTGTTTGTCTCCTGTTTTTGTTTGCAACGTGGGATTCTTTTTTTTTTTTTCGTGCTATTGACGATCTCTCTGATTACTGTCCTTGGAGTTTATTATATATAGAATTGAAAAAAAGGAGAAGAATTTTTTTTTTAGTGGGAAAATTTTAACAGAACATGCTTAATCTTTAAAGAGGATTAGAGCTTTGTGTCTCTTATGCTTTGTGTCAAATATTTGTTTTCACGCTTGGAAATGATTCTATTAAATAAAAATTAGATAAAATTATTGAATCCTTTGAGGAATATGTTAAGTTTGTTTGTTTTTTTTTTATCAAAGTGTAATGTAAGAGAAAAATATTAAAGAGAAAAATAAATATCCAGGATGTTTTGTTTATAATGATTGAATAAATTTTCTTTCTCTTTATTAATCTTATTCTAGATAAAATTTAACTCTTGTAACATTCTTATATTACATTATACGATGTTCCTTTCATCTTCTGTTATTCTCTATAAATTTACCATGACCTTTCAATTATATCGTATCGTATCCTATATTCTTCGATCTGAATAAAAAAAGGGAACAAAGCAAACAAAGTTCCATTACCAATCAAATCAAATATACATAAATATCTCCCATATTTATTAATACATTTATTAATATTTATTAATACATATTTATTAATACATTGATCAAGAAAAAAGAAAGGTTATGATCCATGATTTTTAATCCACTTTCACTTTTTAATTATCACAGTAAACGTTCTTTGTTTTCCAATATAAAAAAGAAAAAAAATATTCTTCATTTTTATCTCTAATAAAATAATTCATGCTTTCTCATACATCACACGATATTGATTCGTAACATCATCGATCTCCTCACAAATACACATCGTATCCTCCATATTTCTCGATATGAACGAAACCAAGAACGCGAGGATTCCACCTGAAACCAGCGCATCGCCGCGATGAGAAAACGAGAGATAGGAAGTCACGTGGTTACTTCCGTGTAGTTAAACAATATGAAACTAACGTTAGATATCGCACAGTGGAATGCTGACATAACAGAAACGCAGCACAGGCGGGAAACAGGTGTCGTAATTTCCTGGTATAATACGAAACGATGTTATGCATCAAGATGCATCGATGGATTTCTTCTTTTTTAATTTCTCGTTATCATTCGTTATCGATATATTATCGTTCACGTAATACGAGAAGCTGCATTCGTTATGATTCTCGCGTAATCCTCGCCTTTATGGCGAGTTTCACGCGAACTTATCGAGGTTAGAAAGTTGTTATTCTAGAGTT